CGCCCGCTACTAACAAGATTATGAAAAGGGTGTTTCAGAAACAGGGAAACAGATTGTGGGTATCAAGAAAAATGTAATCTTGATACAGAAAAATGAATAAAAATCTGATCTTTATTATAAGAGAGAAGAAGAAACGTGAAAAAGAAGAACTAATTTTTCTTCCTTTCTATTCTATTTCAATTTTCCTCCTCCTCTCTTTACAGCCTCTATGCCATCATAGTTATAAATTTTTCTTGAAAATAAAAAAAATCATTTTTTTTATTTTTTTAATTTACGTGAATTTCAGAGCTTATTAAAAGAAAAAAGAAAAAAAAGAGGAAACAAACAAACAAAAATGAAATTCCAAACTTCTAAGTTCCACCCTGGGAACAGAGAAAAGTCAATTTTAATCGTATTAAAACTCTCTTCCTCTCACGCACGCACCATAGAGCCTAGAGATAAATATATCGATAGTCGGGTCGGATCGGATCAACTTTAGATGTTATGCGGTTGAGATACACTCAGTCCTACGCAAACACAAAAGGGTGTTTATCGAATCAGGTCGGATCGGGTCATATTGGATAACCCACTTAGATGCACATGGCAAAGTCCCTCTCTTTCACACAAACACAAAGGGGTCGTTTGGTAGCTAATTCAGATATAAGTTATGAAGATATTAAATGTTATGTTTAGTAGCTGATTAGGATGTAAATTGTTCATATCTTAAGCTAATATGGTATTTGGTTTGCAATTTTAAAAATTTACATAATTAATATAAAATTGTGAGAAAATCTGTAGTATTGTTTTTATGCAGGATAAAAGGTGAAATAACTAATACATAAATAATTAATTCATAAAAAACAAATATTTGCATAAATTAATATATAGATTCATTCATAGTTAATCCCTACACTACTAATATCTACATAACTTTAATCAACTACCAAACGATCCTTTCATTAATTGTTATATTTCTTGTTCACGCATCGTTAAAAAAATTATAAATATTATTTAAAAAAAATTATTTTTCATAATGTTGACAACTAAGATAGGACGAGAGGGTATATTAGTAAGATAGTGAGTGTAGTTCGGGTCGGATTGGGTCGGGTAACGAGGACCACTTGATATGTCACGTGGAAGTAGAGTGATAGATACGAACGTGTGTGAGTTTTTTGTTGCAGTTCGCACGTGGGAATAAGGTGTGATTACGTGGGAAGAGTAGTCAGTTTTTTGTTTTATATTTCCTAAAGTGGTCAGATTTTTTACGATAAATTATTTTTTTAGTCTACTTTTGGAATTTTATTTATAATATTTAAATTAAGTTACTAAATATGTCAGAATCAAAATACATACAATATTTTTTTTTTGCTATTTTTCTACAAATAATGATTTTGTTGAACAGCCATGGCACCCAATTGGTTTATAAAAGATTTGTCCTATTATTGATTATAAAAATATTTGTGACAATAGAAAATTATGATTTTTAGCATTTTGCTTAGTTTCTAAATTAGAAATTCTAGAAAAAAAATAGAAACAAAAAGCGTTGGAAGAGAAAAAGGGAACTTTATAACAAGTATGTATAAAACTTGTCCTATTGATTTTTTGTTTTGTTTTTTACTCTGTGTCCAATGCCTACGAACGGATCTTGTAGGATTCCCAAAAAATTCTTCGATTTCTTCCGGAAACAGATGATTAATCATCTGCTTCTCACGTTTCGTGAATAGCCAGGACATTGAGGAATATCCAGAAAGGCATTTCGGGAATCGATCTAATTCTATCTCTTTTCGTTCCGTTTAAAGAAAGGAAGGATCCCAAAGAACTCTGATTAAGGGAGAAGCAGCTCCATCTCTTCACTATTGAACCATCAAGAAATGTGATCGGGATGAATCTCTTCGCTCTTGATAATCAGATATATTGTAATTGAGTCTTGATAAAAATATCTCAAAGAGAAAGTGTTTTAATAAATTATACACATATAACACGAATATAAATTAATCAAATTAGGAAATATATTATATTATCAAAACCAAAGAAAAAATAATTATGCGTATACTCTATTGTTGTTATTGTCGTTGTAATTTTCCTATAATAGAATTTGTTAAAATAGGAAATAATGTTTTTTTAACTAGAAAAGGAAATTAAAGCAAAGTTGTCAAATACGTAAGCATATCTTCCTATCATTTGATGAAACAAAGTAAAAAAGGAAAGAAAAAGATAAAAGAAATTTGCTACACTCATTTTATTCATATTTAAAAAATTATTAAATTATCTTTATTTATCTATCTTAATTATTAAATTAGGATAGAGTTTTAAAAAAACTACTTTTTCTTATCTTAAATTCCTAAAAATTGATTATTTTTTTATTTATTTTTAATTAATTCGATACTTATTATGAGACGGACAGAATACTATATTAACAAAAAAAATAAAAATCTGGTGCTTTTGATTTGATAAAGATTTGACAAGCGACGTATTTGCCTTTAATTTACCTGACGAGTAATAATGTTTGATTTGAAAATCTCAACTACCAAAAAAGGTCAAAGTTTAAAGAAATTACATCATTTATTGTGTGGTATAAAAGTATAACATTAATCATTTACTGAGCTCTGTTTTGCATTTTGTTTCAGATAAATTTAAATGAGATAATATCTCGATAGGGATTCATATAATCGATGTTAACTTATTTAAGATTAAAATATATATATTTTATTTATTTTTATTTATCTATTTTGAATTTTATATGATTCTTAAAAAATAATAATTAGTATGAATATTTATCATAACGTTCATATTAATTGTCTTAGAATTTGAACAATAAATAAAAATGAACTAATAGTAACGTCACGGAGAGTGATTTGCCTATATTGCCACAATCTGAACGTTTCACCGGATCATTTAATCAGTAGGAACGATGGACGATATGTACAAAAGACAAGGACGTAATCAAAGCAAGTTGATGAGTCATGCTTACTAAAAATTCCTCGTTGAAGACCGAAAATTACAATGATCTAGCTTTTTACTTTATTTTCATATCCACATGCATATCTAGATACTATTTCCTTTATGTAGTTTAACCCTCTCCCTTCTTTCCTTTTCTATTTCTATTTTTTTTTTATTTGTAAGATATCAAGTCATGAATAATTGTCACCTTTCTTTTTGGAATTGTTTTCCGATATCATATATGGACATAGAATTGTTATGATCTTTCAGAATTCAATTAGAATTTGAAATATTTCAAAATTTAAAAGAAAAAATATATATCTATTTTTATAATTTTTACTTCAAAACTTACAAAAAATAATATTTTCTCAAACTATATTCATACCCAAATACAATTCAAATTTTCCAATTATATTATTTTAATTAAATTTATTTTAAATTTCATATTTCTTATGTCCAATCGTCCGCTAAATCTCCAATTCTTTTATTTTTGTGTCAAATTAAAATAACTCCATCTGTTTTATCTTCCCTTTTTGTAGGTGAAGTCCGTGGGAAATGCATGATACCATGTGGTTGATTTTTTTAAATAAATTTAATGAGTTCATAATAAAAGAATTGACTTTTTAGATATTTGTTTTTTCATGGTAGGTTTAAAGTAAGTAATGTTAAACTTCTCTTTGGCATTATGTAGATATAGACATGCTTGACACTCATTGTTGAATTTGTCAAATATATTTTGTTAAAATATTTAGTTACTATTATTATATTTTTATTAGTTTTTATTTTCTATATCATATTATTTAAGTTTGTGGTTTAATTGTGTTGGAAAAAGACAGTCTAATATTTTTCGTTTTGTGTCAAATCTATACCATTTTCTATAAAAGATCCAAGTATATAACGGCCCTAATATTGACTATTTATGCACTTATTCATCTACATGTGTTTTCTCGTTGAAATGTTGACTCTGATATAAACTGTTAAACTAAAATAATTCACAAAATATTTTTATTAAAGTATAATATTATCTGCTTTAGGTCAAGTTTATATAATTTTTTCAAAAATT